CACAATATATGGATAGACAACCGTCTCCAAAGTCCCCTCTTCCTAAAATGAGTAAAATATTAGATGGACAACTATATATGGAAACAAAAGTTTCCCAATATGAAAGATTTTACTTTTTTCTCTACAAGGCATTCATCATATTCACGAATTGACTATTTATTTACGTCAACATCAGAACTACATAGAGTAACAGATATTATGATTTTGCCATTATCAGATCATGCTCCGTTGATGATGTCGTGGGATTTAGGATTTAGACTAATATCCAGGACATCAATGGAGACGTAACATATCTTTACTCAATGATAGTGCATTTATAACAAATGAATTACAGCATACAAATAAAATAAACAGTGATTTTCAGGTAGGTCTAACATTAGTTTTTAGGCACAGAAATTGAATAAAGTAATGAAATGTAAAAATGCATTGTATATTTCACTGTATAAATTAAAGATGAATCTTTATTAAAGTTACAAAAGCTATTCAGTCAAGAGCAGTGAGTGAATTCTTTGTTGTTGCTGTTTGATTAACGTTAAGAAAGTGCTGTCACTTTAAGAGAATGCACTGATACAGTGCACTGATACAGTATGTTCAGCCGGCTATGTCGGCATTTTGACGCAATTTTTGTGTGAATTTGTCCATTTAAACACAATACTTCAGAGAGAGCTTAATGTTTGTGCGCGTTCTGGTTCTGTGGCACGGGTTTGCGCACTTCGGATGAGCGCACGCACAAATCTTCTCACTGCGCGCGCCAGCTTGCATCCTCTGGCTCTTAAATGTTTAAACTGGCAAAGCTTAAATGAGTTTAGTTTTAAACACAGATATCAACGTGTGCTGTTCAGGTCTCACCTGTGCGCGCGCGCTATCAGCACCCGGGTGATGACGGAATAAATGACTGCACATATCCCATCATACGGCATTCGCATTGAACAAAAGTGAATGGTTTGTCCACGTCTTCCATCACTGTTGTTCACACAGAATGCGCATCCATCAACCGAAACATAAGGGCCTTTCGCACCGCAGGAACCTTTTCATAGTACCAGAACTAATTGTGGAACTACCCACTTTTCGGCGTGTTCGCACCGCCGGAACTGGGAGCGATTTTAGTACCGGACTGCCTTTTTCGAGAACCAAATTAGCTCCTA